GACTCATCTTCTACATGGGGGCCATGAACTCCATGCTCGAGTTCCTGGCCGAGGGCGACTCACAACAAGGTATCACGTGATCACGTGATCACGTTATCACGTTATCACGTGATCACGTTGGCCACCATGTCCATCACCCAGCTGAGACTCATCTTCTACATGGGGGCCATGAACTCCATGCTCGAGTTCCTGGCCGAGGGCGACTCACAACAAGGTATCACGTGATCACGTGATCACGTTATCACGTTATCACGTTGGCCACCATGTCCATCACCCAGCTGAGACTCATCTTCTACATGGGGGCCATGAACTCCATGCTCGAGTTCCTGGCCGAGGGCGACTCACAACAAGGTATCACGTGATCACGTTATCACGTTATCACGTTGGCCACCATGTCCATCACCCAGCTGAGACTCATCTTCTACATGGGGGCCATGAACTCCATGCTCGAGTTCCTGGCCGAGGGCGACTCACAACAAGGTATCACGTCATCACGTGATCACGTTATCACGTTCTCACGTGATCACGTTGGCCACCATGTCCATCACCCAGCTGAGACTCATCTTCTACATGGGGGCCATGAACTCCATGCTCGAGTTCCTGGCCGAGGGCGACTCACAACAAGGTATCACGTGATCACGTGATCACGTTATCACGTTATCACGTTATCACGTTGGCCACCATGTCCATCACCCAGCTGAGACTCATCTTCTACATGGGGGCCATGAACTCCATGCTCGAGTTCCTGGCCGAGGGCGACTCACAACAAGGTATCACGTTATCACGTGATCACGTTATCTCGTTATCACGTTGTCACGTTATCACGTTATCACGTTGTCACGTCATCACGTTATCACGTTATCACGTTGTCCACCATGTCCATCACCCAGCTGAGACTCATCTTCTACATGGGGGCCATGAACTCCATGCTCGAGTTCCTGGCCGAGGGCGACTCACAACAAGGTATCACGTTATCACGTGATCACGTTATCTCGTTATCACGTTATCACGTTGGCCACCATGTCCATCACCCAGCTGAGACTCATCTTCTACATGGGGGCCATGAACTCCATGCTCGAGTTCCTGGCCGAGGGCGACTCACAACAAGGTATCACGTGATCACGTGATCACGTTATCACGTTATCACGTGATCACGTTGGCCACCATGTCCATCACCCAGCTGAGACTCATCTTCTACATGGGGGCCATGAACTCCATGCTCGAGTTCCTGGCCGAGGGCGACTCACAACAAGGTATCACGTGATCACGTGATCACGTGATCACGTTATCACGTGATCACGTTGGCCACCATGTCCATCACCCAGCTGAGACTCATCTTCTACATGGGGGCCATGAACTCCATGCTCGAGTTCCTGGCCGAGGGCGACTCGCAACAAGGTATCACGTGATCACGTTATCACGTTATCTCGTTATCACGTTATCACGTTATCACGTTATCTCGTTATCACGTTATCACGTTGGCCACCATGTCCATCACCCAGCTGAGACTCATCTTCTACATGGGGGCCATGAACTCCATGCTCGAGTTCCTGGCCGAGGGCGACTCACAACAAGGTATCACGTGATCACGTGATCACGTGATCACGTGATCACGTTATCACGTTATCACGTTATCACGTTGGCCACCATGTCCATCACCCAGCTGAGACTCATCTTCTACATGGGGGCCATGAACTCCATGCTCGAGTTCCTGGCCGAGGGCGACTCACAACAAGGTATCACGTGATCACGTGATCACGTGATCACGTTATCTCGTTATCACGTTATCACGTTGTCAAGGTGTCACGTTATCACGTTATCACGTTGGCCGCCATGTCCATCACCCAGCTGAGACTCATCTTCTACATGGGGGCCATGAACTCCATGCTCGAGTTCCTGGCCGAGGGCGACTCACAACAAGGTATCACGTGATCACGTGATCACGTTATCACGTTATCACGTGATCACGTTGGCCACCATGTCCATCACCCAGCTGAGACTCATCTTCTACATGGGGGCCATGAACTCCATGCTCGAGTTCCTGGCCGAGGGCGACTCACAACAAGGTATCACGTGATAACGTGATGACGTGATAACGTGATCACGTGATCACGTTGGCCACCATGTCCATCACCCAGCTGAGACTCATCTTCTACATGGGGGCCATGAACTCCATGCTCGAGTTCCTGGCCGAGGGCGACTCGCAACAAGGTATCACGTGATCACGTTATCACGTTATCTCGTTATCACGTTATCACGTTATCACGTTATCTCGTTATCACGTTATCACGTTGGCCACCATGTCCATCACCCAGCTGAGACTCATCTTCTACATGGGGGCCATGAACTCCATGCTCGAGTTCCTGGCCGAGGGCGACTCACAACAAGGTATCACGTGATCACGTGATCACGTTATCACGTTATCACGTGATCACGTTGGCCACCATGTCCATCACCCAGCTGAGACTCATCTTCTACATGGGGGCCATGAACTCCATGCTCGAGTTCCTGGCCGAGGGCGACTCGCAACAAGGTATCACGTGATCACGTTATCACGTTATCTCGTTATCACGTTATCACGTTATCACGTTATCTCGTTATCACGTTATCACGTTGGCCACCATGTCCATCACCCAGCTGAGACTCATCTTCTACATGGGGGCCATGAACTCCATGCTCGAGTTCCTGGCCGAGGGCGACTCACAACAAGGTATCACGTGATCACGTGATCACGTGATCACGTGATCACGTTATCACGTTATCACGTTATCACGTTGGCCACCATGTCCATCACCCAGCTGAGACTCATCTTCTACATGGGGGCCATGAACTCCATGCTCGAGTTCCTGGCCGAGGGCGACTCACAACAAGGTATCACGTGATCACGTGATCACGTGATCACGTTATCTCGTTATCACGTTATCACGTTGTCAAGGTGTCACGTTATCACGTTATCACGTTGGCCGCCATGTCCATCACCCAGCTGAGACTCATCTTCTACATGGGGGCCATGAACTCCATGCTCGAGTTCCTGGCCGAGGGCGACTCACAACAAGGTATCACGTGATCACGTTGTCACGTTATCTCGTTGTCACGTTATCACGTTATCACGTTATCACGTGATCTCGTTATCACGCTATCACGCTATCCCGTTATCACGTTATCACGTTATCACGTTATCCCGTTATCACGTTATCACGTTATCACGTGATCACGTTATCACGTTATCACGTTATCCACCATGTCCATCACCCAGCTGAGACTCATCTTCTACATGGGGGCCATGAACTCCATGCTCGAGTTCCTGGCCGAGGGCGACTCACAACAAGGTATCACGTGATCACGTGATCACGTTATCACGTTATCACGTTGTCACGTTATCACGTTATCACGTGATCTCGTTATCACGCTATCACGCTATCCCGTTATCACGTTATCACGTTATCCCGTTATCCCGTTATCACGTTATCACGTGATCACGTGATCACGTTATCACGTTATCACGTTATCCACCATGTCCATCACCCAGCTGAGACTCATCTTCTACATGGGGGCCATGAACTCCATGCTCGAGTTCCTGGCCGAGGGCGACTCACAACAAGGTATCACGTGATCACGTGATCACGTTATCACGTTATCACGTTGTCACGTTATCACGTTATCACGTGATCTCGTTATCACGCTATCACGCTATCCCGTTATCACGTTATCACGTTATCCCGTTATCCCGTTATCACGTTATCACGTTATCACGTGATCACGTTATCACGTTATCACGTTATCACGTTATCCACCATGTCCATCACCCAGCTGAGACTCATCTTCTACATGGGGGCCATGAACTCCATGCTCGAGTTCCTGGCCGAGGGCGACTCACAACAAGGTATCACGTTATCACGTTATCACGTGATCTCGTTATCACGTCATCACGTTATCACGTGATCACGTTATCAAGTTGTCAAGGTGTCACGTTATCACGTTATCACGTTATCTCGTTATCACGTTATCACGTTATCTCGTTATCCCGTTATCACGTTATCCGTTATCCGTCATCACGTTATCACGTTATCCGTCATCACGTTATCACGTTATCACGTTATCCATCATCACGTTATCACGTTATCACGTTATCCGTCATCACGTTATCACGTTATCCGTCATCACGTTATCACGTTATCACGTTATCCGTCATCACGTTATCACGTTATCACGTTATCCGTTACCCACCATCCCTTATCCCGTCATCCGCCATCTCCCACACTGCCCACCCAATTCCCCGTATCCGCTGACCCGCTAAAAAGGCATTCCCCATATCCGCCGACCCGCTAATCTGGCATTCCCCATATCCGCTGGCCCGCTTATCTGGCATTCCCCATATCCGCTGACTCGCTCAAGCGGCGAGGAAGTCGACATCCCTGGGTCACCAAGCGGCAGCAGGAATCGCCAGGGGGTCCCGGATGGAACCCACGACCTCCTGCATGAATCTCGTTGAGTTTCACCTGACGTGGATATGTCTAACGTTGTGTGTCTGTGTGTGTGTGTGTCTCTGTGTGTCTGTGTGTGTGTCTGTGTGTCTGTGTGTGTCTGTGTGTGTCTGTGTGTGTCTCTGTGTCTGTGTGTGTGTGTGTCTGTCTGTGTGTCTGTGTGTCTCTGTGTGTCTGTGTGTCTGTGTGTGTGTCTGTGTGTGTCTGTGTGTGTCTGTGTGTGTGTCTCTCTGTGTCTGTGTGTGTGTCTGTGTGTGTGTCTGTGTGTGTCTGTGTGTGTGTGTGTCTGTGTGTCTGTGTGTCTCTCTGTGTCTCTGTGTGTCTGTGTGTCTGTGTGTGTGTCTGTGTGTCTGTGTGTGTCTGTGTGTGTCTGTGTGTGTGTGTCTCTCTGTGTCTGTGTGTGTCTCTCTGTGACTGTGTGTGTCTCTGTGTCTGTGTGTGTCTCTGTGTCTGTGTGTGTGTCTCTGTGTCTGTGTGTCTCTCTGTGTCCGCACGGGTCACCGCTACCAACTCAAGTGATGGACACTGGTATGTACGCGCGCACAAAGATCCCCCATATAGCCTTAACAGACTGTAGGGGCAAGTGCTGTTAGCGAGCACCTATGAAAGCCGGTAACGGTACACGAGGGGGTGGGTGGCCAGCTACCACGCCCGACCGCCTTTGTCTCCCTAGCGGCGATGTTTACTATACACACCGCTACACCAGGTACTCATTTGAGGCCGAGTCGACCTAGGGGAGGCCCGGGACCGGTTCAGATAATCGTCACCGGCGGTGTTGGCCGTGAGCGGGAATCGAACCCGGGTCGCCGGGTTCATAGCGCAGCGTAGCGCTAACCACTACTACACTATCACTCCCCACAGACACACAGACACACACACATACACACAACAACAACAACCGCCATTCGCCACTAAGTGGCGGTGACGTCACCACGACGCTTGTGCCAGGCCACGTGCACCTTGAGGCCACGTGAAGTGTCGAACGCCCGCTGGCAGGAGGTCACGGGGCAGACCCAGCAGGTGGCACGGGTCGACTGACTGAGATGAGTGGCTGATGCACCACCTGTGCCCCCTACTGTGCCAACCTGCTGGACTACGTAGTGACGGAACAGTGGATGCGGGCCCATGTCCTTGACACCAGGACCTACCGTGGAGCTGATCTGCCCACTGACCATCGACTAGTCATCTGTAAGATGCGCCTGACATTCTTCCACTCCGGGGCAGGAGACTGCCCAACAACAGGGTGTGGCTCTTCTTCTGAATAAGGGGGCGTGGGAGCGTGGCGGTGAGGTGTGGGAAGCTGCAAGCCCCAGGCTACTTTGGGCTCGCCTTCCCATCAACTGGAGGCGAGGAATGGTGGTCGTGGTTACTTATGCCCCCACCGAAGACGAACATCCGTGGAGGGATGCAGGCAAAGCCGATGAGTCAGATGCCTTCTATGACCTCCCGTCACAGGTGCTGGCTAAAGTGGCCCCTCGGGATAGAGTCATCTTGTTGGGTGACTTCAATGCCCGAGTTGGTCATGATGCTGGCACTTGGTCTGGAGTGATTGGAGGGCATGGGCCAGATCAGGTCAATAACAACGGTAGGAGGCTGCTAGATTTTTGTGCAGCCCATGAGCTTGTAATTACCAACACGCTGTTCCGGCATCGGCGCATCCACACAACATCATGGATGCATGCCGGGTCCAAGCAAGAACATCTGCTGGACTACATAGTGATGGACCAGCGGATGCGAGCCCATGTCCTTGACACCAGGACCTACCGTGGAGCTGATCTGCCCACTGACCATCGACTTGTCATCTGTAAGATGCGCCTGCCATTCTTCCACTCCGGTGGTGGGTGTACACCCAGGACCCCATTCAACCCCTTAGTGGCATGGTGTCAGCTAGCTGATGAAAGTTGCGAGCGAGAATTTCATCATCGCCTGCGGCTGGGATTGGCATCGTCCCCCACTCCTCCTGATGTCGAGGGTAAAGGGGCGAGGTTTAGGACTGTGACTCAGGCAGCTGCAATGACTGCTTTGGGTACGCGGTCCAGACCTCCCCAGAGACCCTGACTGACAGAGGAGGTGTTCAGGATGGTTGAGAAAAAGCGACAGGCCCACTCTCATCAGCTACAGCATCCCACATCAGAGAATGAGGAGGCTTACCGCAGCCTTCGCTCGGAAGTTCGGAGAGCCGTGAGGCGCTGCAAGGATGGGTGGTGGTCGCGGGTTGCTGAGGAGATGGAGTCTGCCTCAGTGGCCCGCCATCACAAATCTCTATTGAACTCCATCAAAACAGTAACCTGCAGCGCCACACCTATTACCATAATTAGGGGAAAAAACGGTGATCCAATCTCCGACCCCCAGGAGCAGGTTTCCAGATTTGCTGAACATTTCTGTGAGGTCCTGGAGGAGGGAAAATCCCTCAGCCAGGAAAACATCGTGGCACAAAGTGAGGATGACCCTGCTGAGGCTGCGGTGCCTCAAATATTGGAAGAAGTCACCCCTGTGAGTGGCTGGCTGAGGTGCCATCTGTTGAGGAAGTACTGAAGGCGATCCGGAGTCTGAGACCAGGAAAGGCAGCGGGCAGAGATGATCTCCCAAGTGAAATGCTGAGGGAGGGTGGCGTTTGTGCACAGACTGCCCTACATGACATCATAACAGTCTGGACCACTGGACGGGTTCCACAGGATTGGAAGGATGCCCTGGTGGTCCCCCTCTTTAAGAAGGGGGACCGCACGGACTGTAACAACTGCAGGGGCATCTCACTCCTCAGTGTGCCGGGAAAGGTCCTGGCAAGGATTATTCAACATCGCCTTGCCAGGCACGCTGAGGAGAGGCTTACGGAGCCCCAATGCGGTTTCAGGAAAGGGCGGTCCTGCACGGATGCCATATTTTCTGTCCGTCTGCTACAGCAGAGGTGTAGGGAATTCCAGCAAGACCTACATCTCTGCTTTATTGACCTGGTCAAGGCCTATGACACCATCAGTAGGCCTGGGCTCTGGGTTGTTCTTCGTGCTTTTGGAGTACCTGACCCTCTGCTCACGATCATTAAGGACCTTCATGATGGTGAGCGGGCCCGGGTAAAACTACGTGGCCGGGATTCAGAGCCATTCCCTGTACACCTTGGGGTGCGACAGGGATGTCCTCTGGCTCCCACATTATTTAACATCTATTTTGACCACGTAGTTCATGAAGCCTTCAATAGCTGTACCGGGGGAATCTCCATATGGTACATATATAATGGGAGGCTGATCGATGCCCGGGTGTGGTCAAGGGATGGCTCCCTATTGGTCAACCACGTTATTATGTCGATGATTTAGTAATAGCCGCTCATTCAGAAGAGGAGTTGGAGACGCTGCTGCTGAGACTGGAGCGTGCTACTAAGAGATGGGGCCTTACCATCAGCCCCACCAAAACTAAGCACCTACCTGGGTATTTTGTACCATCGGACACTCCACCCCCACAACTCCCAATCGGTGATGGGGCAGTTGTGGAGAGAGTGGAGAGTTTCCCATACCCGGGCAGTGTGCTTATGACCGGCTCCAGTTTAACAGCAGAAGTCTCACTCCGAATCAGTCGAGCGGCAATATTTTCATCGGTTGCGTAACGCTGTGTGGAAGCTACCTGGTCTTTCGCTCCGCACTAAGCTTCAGGTCTTCTCAGCCACGGTCATTCCCTCCCTTCTCTACGCTTGCGAAACGTGGACCCCCCTAATGGAACATCTTTGCCGGTTAGAAACATTTAGGCTGGCCTGCCTACGATCCATCCTGGGTTTAACCAGACTGGATTGTGTGAGGAGCTCACAAATCCTTGAAAGATCTGGGCAAGGTCCCATCGGTGAACTCCTCCGGCGGGCAAGGCTGCGATGGCTGGGTCATGTAGCCCGCATGCCCAGCCACCACATGCCGAAACAGCTTTTGTTCAGCCGGATCGAGGGGGCTAAGCGAGCGCGGCACGGGCTAGAGAAGAGATGGAGTGATGTGGTACAGGAGGACGTGGAGCTGAGTGGACTTGCCGATGACTGGTACCAGCGGTGTCAAGATCGGCCTCTGTGGAGGAGGCTCGTGAAGGATGCTACTGGGCAGTTGGAGGTAGTCGCCCTCCAACAACAACGGAGGGCGGAGGAGCGACGCTCACAACAACGAGCGGAGCGCCGGGTGGCTAAAGCACAGCAGGTTGGCGCAGTAGGGGGCACAGGTGGTGCATCAGCCAGTTATCTCAGTCAGTCGACCCGTGGCACCTGGGTCTGCCCCGTGACCTCCTGCCAGCGGGCGTTCGACACTTAACGTGGCCTCACGGTGCACATAGCCTGGCACAAGCGTCGTGGTGACGTCACCGCCACTTAGTGGCGAATGGCGGTTGTTGTTGTTGTTATTATGTGAATGTATGTATGTATGTGTATGTATGTGTGTGTATGTGTGTATGTGAATGTGTGTGAGTGTGTGTGTATGTGTGTGTATGTATGTATGAATGTGTATGTATGTGTGTGAATGTATGTGTGTGTGTATGTGAATGTATGTATATGTGTGTATGTATGTGTGTATGTGAATGTGTGTGTATGTGAATGTATGTATGTGTGTATGTGAATGTATGTATGTATGTGTGTATGTGAATGTATGAATGTATGTGTGTATTTGAATGTGTGTGTGTATGTGTGAATGTGTGTATGTATGTGTGTGTATGTATGAATGTTAATGTGTGTATGTGTGTGTATGTGTGTGAATGTGTAGTGTATGTGTGAATGTGTAGTGTATGTGTGTATGTGTGAATGTGTGTGTATGTGTGAATGTGTGTGTATGTGTAGTGTGTGTGTATGTATGTGTGTGAATGTGTGTATGTGTGTGTGTATGTATGTGTATGTATGTGTGAATGTATCTGAATGTGTGTGTATGAATGTATGTGTGTATGTGAATGTGTGTATGTGAATGTGTGTATGTATGTGTGTATGTATGTGTATGTATGTGTGTATGTATGTGTATGTGAATGTATGTATGTGTGTGTATGTGAATGTATGTGTGTATGTGTGTGAGTGTGTATGTATCTGAATGTGTGTGAGTGTGTGTATGTATGTGTATGTATGTGTGTGTATGTATGTGTGTGTATGTATGTGAATGTATGTATGAATGTGTGTGTGTATGTGAATGTATGTGTGAATGTGTGTGAATGTGTGTGTAGTGAATGTATCTGAATGTGTGTGTATGTATGAATGTATGTGTGTATGTGTGTATGTGAATGTGTGTATGTGAATGTGTGTATGTATGTGTGTATGTATGTGTATGTATGTGTGTATGTATGTGTATGTGAATGTATGTATGTGTGTGTATGTGAATGTATGTGTGTATGTGTGTGAGTGTGTGTATGTATCTGAATGTGTGTAAGTGTGTGTATGTATGTGTATGTATGTGTGTGTATGTATGTGAATGTATGTATGAATGTGTGTGTGTATGTGAATGTATGTGTGAATGTGTGTGAATGTGTGTGTAGTGTATGTATCTGAATGTGTGTATGTGTATGTATGTGTGTGTATGTATGTGTGTGTAGTGTCTACCTACACGTCGGTGTTTGGAGTCCTCCAGTTCCTGTGCCTGGCCACGGCTCCGGTCATCGGCTTCATCATGGACTGGAGACTCAAGGAGTGCATCGATGACGATTCAGCCACCAGCACCAACGGGACCATAGAGTGAGTACAGTACAACCACCACAGCCATCGCAATCAGCACCAGCACCACCACCACTACCACCACTACCACCACTACCACTACCACCACCACTACCACTACTACCACCACCACTACCACTACTACCACCACTACCACCACCACCACTACCACCACCACTACCACCACCACCACTACCACCACCACTACTACCACCACTACTACCACCACTACCACCACCACCACTACTACCA